GATACATCTCTAGAGGAGTAAAAAGCCTCATCTTTCGCCTCCGGAGTGGCTGGTGGTTTAAACTGCCGACCACCCCATGTGTAACCCACTACGCCATCAGGACTCCTGGTTCTTTCCCAGCATTCCTGGTGATCCGCCAGGGTGCTCCCTAGGCAGCGGGAACTCTCTGGGCTGTTGCGTGTTCAGGGCTGGGTGAGAGAAGAGACTGAGTTAGTCTAGGAAGGCTTCTCAGCCGAAGGAAGAGATAGGAAGGGTCTCCCAGGGCTCAGAGGCCTGGAGGCTGGGCCCTGACCCTGATGCCCTCTCAGCAGTGGGGCCGGATCCACAAGGGACCCCACCTTTGGAGGCTCTGCCCTATCTCCCCTTCAGAACCAAATCATTCCTACCAAATTTTCATGGAAACCTGCTTGGTTGTGAGCAAATTGTTCACAGACAAATCAGCTGTCTCTTCCCTCAGGACCCGAAGAGCAGCTGCCGCTGCCCAGGCCCCACCCCAACAGGCCCTTGCAGTCAATCCCCGAAGAGATTGGGGGCCCTGTCCTCCACACCCACCCCTTTGATTGTTCTTATCCCTCTCCCTCTTCACTTACAACCCTGATGAGTATTCAGGGCCCCAAATCACCCCTGCCCCTGTTTCCCCTTTGTGAGGCAAGGGCCTTACACAGATCCTTCCTAGGCTGGCTGTATAATTTGCAGGGCTCATTGCAAAACAAAACATAGGACCCCTTACTCAAAAATTGGTGCAGTCCCAGTTACAGTCTTGGAAACTCTCAGGGACAATTCTACCCTGTCAGAGCCCATATGAGTCAGAATTGGCTCAGTGGCAATGAGTTCAGAAAGTTTTTGTTCAAAAAGCAGGGGGGAAAGGGCTTTATAGAAACTAAAATAGAAACATTTTCTCTTTTGGAATTTCTCTTTTGATTTGTCATGGTGTTTTATTTTGCTACTTAATATCATTCCAAGTGAAGAAAACAAAAACTATAGTTAACTCATCAGCATGGATCCCATGGCTTCCCTTTATATTCTGCAGCAGCCCCGTTGGCCTAGTGGTTACGAGTCGGGCTGCAGTCCTCAAGGTTAGCAGTTCGAAACCACCAGCCCCACCTCGGAAGAAAGGTGGGGCTTTCTACTCCCCTAGAGTGACAGTCTTGGAAACTCACTAGTAGTTCTACCCTGCCTGGCCTATAGGGTCGGTCTGAGTCAGTGTCAACTTGGTAGCGGGGGTGTATTCAGCTTTATATTGTGCAGTGCCCATTTTAAATGCAAATGTCAGATTCACTGGAGTTGCACAATTCAGGTTTCATCACTCACAGGCCCCCGGCTTTGTTCTTAGCACCTACAGGGAAAAGGCCGCAAGGCACTTGCTGGACAGTTTCTCACACTGGTGGATAGGCATCCATCCTACCAGCGCCCTCTCCCTTAGGCTAGTTACTAAGGTGTGAGGAAGGACCTTCTTGCTCTGTCATCACTTGCTGCATTAATGCTTGGCTAACAGAGGGCAGTCACGTGAGGAGGAAAGAGGGTACAAGGACGTCTTGGTGGCCAGTGTTGCCAAGAGCCAAGCCCCTTCTTAGTTCGTGTGAAATGAACTTTGGCTGAATCAAAAGCGCGGCTCTCATACCCCAGCCTGTTGTCGCTGTGAGTCTTGCTCAGGGCCACCCACAGGGAACCCACTGCAGTCTGGGCTCCTGGGCCATTGACCACGCCGGCCAGGTCTGGGGAGGCAAGCTGTGGAAGCGACACACATCTGATGCATGTCCATTCGGTGGGCTTGCTCCACTGCCCCACAGACTGGACTTACAAGACACAGGTTCAGAGATAAGACCTGCCTGCAGGCCAGCGGCAGCAGCAGAACATGTGGGGCCCTTCCGAGCCCGGCCTGGTGGGATCACATGATGATCAGCACACCCAGCCTTGCCAGACAGCCAAGGAGGAGAAAGGCTCTCCAGCAGACCCTGCTGCTTCCTGCCTCAAGCCTCTGCCTAGCGTTTCCTCTACCCCATGGTGGTCCTCAGGGCCTGGTCCCTGGCCCAGCAGCATCTGCGTCTCTCAGGCACTTGTTAGGAACGTGCTTTCCCAAGCCCTGCACACTGGTCTTTAACAAGTCCCTTGGGTCCTTTTAAGGATCTCTGGTGGCATAGAAATTACCAGTTAGGCTGCTTACCAGAAGGTCCAGTTCCACATCACCAGCTGCTCTGTGGGATTTTCTGTTCCCATAAAGAGTCACTGTTGCACTTCTGCCACAGGGCCAGTGCCCTGGCAGTGTCCAGCTACCATGTTTAAGTCGGGCCCGTGCCACTTGCCTCGACAATGCCCCCCAAGAAATAGGCTCCGGCTGGAGGCAGCGAAAAGGTGGAAGAGAGGAAGAACAACAAGCTCAGGGAAGACCAACACTTCGGGGCTAAAGGATCAGAAAGGACAAAGCAACGGAGCTGATCGGGTTAAGTTTGGCCAACGACATCCATGCCAGGTAGCACCAAGGGCACCTGAAGTCGAAGAGGAATGACAGGAGCAAAATGAATTATCCAAACCTCTCGCTGCTGCTCAACAACTAAGCAAAGGCGCAGACCCCAAATCTGCGTGGTTTGTGCATTCTTCAAGCAAGGCCAGTGCACGGAAGGCGAGAAGTGTTCCGTTCTCTGGTGACTTGACTCTGGAGGGAAGACATGAAGAGCTAAGTGTTTACAGAGACCCAGAGGTGAGGAACTGGGCACAGAGACCGTGGGTGACTGGCATGAGAAGACACCGGGAGGAGTCGTGATGCACCGTGAGGCGGGAAAGGAAAAAAATCCCAAAACTCAAAGAGCGTGTGAGCATTTTCTGGCAGCTATTGAAAATGACAAGCACGGCCGTGGCCGGTTTGGGGTACGTCCTGGAGGGGGTGATGGGTGTATGCATCGTCACACACTTCCTTCCCCCTGGATCTGTGTGGCGAAAAGATAAAACGAAAGAAGAGAAAGAAGATGAAATGTCATGGGAAGATCCCATGGAAAGAGAGCGTTCCACCCGAGGTCCAAATGTTACCCAAATCACCCCGGGATCTTCTCTGGCACGGAGACAAAGGGCAAGCAGGAGCCGCTGCAAAGGACCCGTGGGCGCGAGGTGTTTTGGAACCTGGCCCCGAACTGGCTGGTGACGACAGCGAGGAAGCCGAGCATACCTGTGACATACACCAGGGAACCAGCGGTGGCGAGGCTGAGGGTCCTGTGAAGGCAAAGGACATTCCACGAGATGTCGATGAGCTAGTACTACCAGAGCCAGTCTTGAAGGATTCAGCACGTCGACGTCAGAGAAGGATGAGAACGAATTAAGCGAAGCTGCCGGAGGTAGGGGAAAGACGCGACGACGGTAAAGAGGAAATCGAAGGGGGAGGTGCAGGAACACGGAGCCGTGGCTGCTGTTTCCATCGATGAAAACCTTTCCCCTGGGGAAGACTTGGAAGAACCAGAAGAACAAATAAGCACGCTGGACTTAGGAGAAGGACACCAAACAAATGAATGACCACATGAAGTCAGCTCGGCCGAGTTGAAATGGACTGCGGTAATTCTTCCACGTAGAACTCTCCAGCAGACTGTTTGCGAACCATGCTGCCTGTGGAGGGCTCCCCTCTCCCCCAGAAAAGGGAATGATCTCCTCACGCCCCCTGACTTTGACTACCCCTTGGGACGTGCAGCGGAGTTGGTGATCAGTGGGAAATGATTGCTTGTTGTAGCTGTCCACTCAGGTAGGACGCGCAGCTGCTTTCGCAGCTTTGGGATTTCCTTGGGCACGCGTTATCACCAGGGACAAGAGAAATCTAAATACAAAACATCTTCCATTAAAAACAAAACAACAAGAGTTGCAGACGTGAAAACCCACAGGGGCAGTACTACCCCTTCCTAGGGGATCACTCTGGCTCCACTCGACTCAATCGATGGCAGTGAGTGGGTGGTTGTGTTAGACAGGGTTCTCTAGAGAAACAAAACCAGGACACTTATGATTTTATATAGATAAATAGATATAGATTTATATGGATAGATACATACAGCACGAAGGCATATAACAGCTAATTAGTCCACACAGTAGTACAGAGGGCTCAGTTCAACTCACTTCCGCGGAACAGTTAACATACTGGAAGTTTTTCAACTCACGAGGGCTGCTGGATCCAAGGTCAAGGGAGCAGACAGCTGAGTCATCCGTAGGGAATGAAGACAGTCCGACCACAGGCAGCAAACAGCAGGTCAGGTCACCAACAGTCAGCCAGATGACAAGATCCAACGGTCCTAAGCTCAAGTGAGGTATACACCAGCAGCGTATACATCGTGGCGAAGCAGGTCTCGAAGGAACTTCAAGCTCTAGCAACACAATCCACAGGTTGGGTGTCCCACGGGTAGTGTAGCGCACAAGTTAAGGCAGAAAACTAGCTAAGGTAACCGCAAGCTGGTCCGATCACCAGACAGCAAGAGAGACAGGCAGGGCTTGCAGAGCCATTTATCTCTTTGCCCTCCAATCAAACTGTGACCTTATTAGTCCCACAGGTTCTACTGGCCAGACAATAAACCTACCTATCACAGTGGTGTTGTGAGTTATATGCATTGGGCCACCAGCCACAAGGTCAGCAGCAAAACCGCCAAACTGCTACCCCGGGGCAAGAGGAGACTTTCTACTCCCATAAACAGTCACAGTCTGGGAAAGCCCCAGGGGCAGCACTGCCCTGCCCTGTAGGGTCCCTCTGCGTGGGAGTTTGGACCTGCAGTTGTTGGGCAGGGCGGTCCTTGCCCACCTCCCTCCAGCCCCTTCATGGGTAGGCTCAGGCCTCACCCACCTGGCGCTTCTGTGAGTCCGTCGGTTCATGCCTTCAGCAGGCTCTAGGCATGTCTGCATGTTCTCCATCTTGTTCTGAGCAGGGCAAACAGGGCCCACAGTAAGGGTGGGTCAAATGGTCCCCAGGAGGCCCTGCGGGGCTCACACAGGGGTCGAGGGGGCTGGAGAGGGGCTGACCCAGACTGTCCCCCTTGCAGGTACAGCCTGTACACGCGCACCTGGCTCGGGTACCTCTTCTACCGACAGCAGCTGCGCCGAGCTCGGAATCGCTACCCCAAGGGCCACTCCAAAACCCAGCCCCGCCTCTTCAATGGTGAGCCCTGGCCGCCATCCCGGCAACTGTACCTACCCACCCTGCCCACTCCCCTGCCCCCACCTGCCCGCCACGCCCCACAGCCCCTGTCTGTCCCGCAGGAGTGAAGGTGCTTCCCATACCCGTCCTGTCCGACAACTACAGCTACCTCATCATCGACACGCAGGCCCGCCTGGCTGTGGCCGTGGACCCTTCCGACCCTCGGGCCGTTCAGGTGAGGGGGGTGTGCAGCAGGGGCCAGGGGCACCCTTGGGAGCTGGCAGCTAGAGAGGGGTTGACCTTGGATGCTCCGCCAATGGAGGTGGCACTTGCCAGTCGGGCAGGTGCATACACACAGCATGGGAGAGGGGCTGGCGACCAGCGGGTGTGGGCTGTGAGTGGGTGGGTGGATGATGTGGAGAAGGCAGGAGTCAGGTGGGGTGCCAAGGCTGAAGGGGGAGGGATGCTGACCCCAGAAGTGGGCTGGTGAGTTTCCGGGGTGGGGGTGGAGGCGGGCACCGACTGGCCTTCCTTCTTCCCTCCCTGGGTCAGTGTTTACGGCAGCCGTGTCCTCCTGTTTCTCGTTTCGCTGCATCCCCATGTCACACACGTGTGTCCAGCCCCTCTGCTGTCCTCTTCCCCATCGCCCCCAGGGACCCCTGGAGGGGCTCAATCATCCCCCCTCCCTTCTCTCCTGCTTCCTTTCCTTTAAGCCCCCTGCTCCCCTCTCACCTTCCCCAGCACCATCTCTCCCTGAACCTCCCGCTCCTCAGCCTCAGTAACCCCTCCTCTCTCCCACCAGGCTTTCATCGAAAAGGAGGCTGTTACCTTGGTAGCCATTCTTTGCACCCACAAGCACTGGTAAGGGGCTGGGGCGGGACTGGGGCTGGGGGTCTGGAGGCAGGAGTGGCCCGGTGAGGTGGGCTGCTGGGGATCCGGACCTCAGGGCGGGCAGCACAGGCCTTCTTCCTGAACTCACTGGGGTGCCTGCAGAGATGGAGCAGGACACCAGGCCCTTCCACAGCCCCACATCTGGGCTCCTGCAGACCCAGGGGAGGGGAGGCCAGGGCAGGCACTGATCTTCCAGTATGGGGCCGTCCTTAGATGCCTTCTGCCCGTTGGGCATGGGCAGCACTGGTGTTCTGCCACCAAGGGGATTCTAGTGCAGTAGCAGTAGGGAGCTCTGCATAAAGGTCCTACCAAACACGGGCCTGGTGGGGGGAGGGGGGTGGCAGGAGGGCACTGGCTGGGGCTGGTCAGATCCACTTCCGGGAATTAGAGGGTGACGACCTTGGAGCTGAGTCCAGAAAGCTGTCTATCTTGGCCAGGTTGTTGAGGGACAGGGTGGGGCTAGGGGTAGGGGGTAGGTGGCAAGGTGTATGTGAGGGGGGAGACCATCTGGGCAGGGAGCAACTTGAACAAAGGCCTGGAGTGGAAACAGCCCCACCCAGTCTCCAGGCTCACAGGTCCACAGGTGCTGTGGGGGAGACGGCCCAGCTGGAGGCCCAAGAATATCACCCCTCTAAGACCCTTGCCTGGCGTATGCTCTACAGGGACCACAGTGGAGGGAACCGCGACCTCAGCCGGCGGCACCGGGACTGCCGGGTGTACGGGAGCCCGCAGGACGGTATCCCCTACCTCACCCAGTAAGCCCTAACCCTTCCCGGGGCCTTCCCCTCACCCCCTCCTTCAGCAGAGCATGTCAAGGCTATCAACAACTGGGCCTCCACTGACCACTTGCTTCCTGGCCTGGAACCGCCCCACTCCCCTGCTTCCCCCCCAACACCCACCAGTCTGCACCTTTGACAAGAATGGGGGAGGGTTTGGGTCGGCTCCCAGAACACTGGGGATGCCTTCTCTTACTGATGAGGAAGCCCACCCTCCTGTGAGTTACCCAGCCCCTGGGAATAGTGGGTTGGTTATTCCTTAGGCTGCTAGTTGCATGGTAGCCAGCAGTTCAAAGCCACCAGGTGCTTCTTGGGAGAGAGATAAGGCTTTCTATTCCCCACAAAGAGTTACAGCCCAAGAACCTCGGGGGCAGCTTTTCGTTGTTCCACGGGGTCACTGTGAGTTGAATCAGCTCAGTGGCAGTGAGTGTAGTCGGGGTCCTGGTTTTGATTGGACCGGAGGTGGGGACAGGGATCACTGTGGTTCCTGCTCTTCCTTCTTGTCCAGCCCCCTGTGTCATCAAGATGTGATCAGTGTGGGGCGGCTTCAGATTCGGGCCCTGGCTACCCCGGGCCACACACAAGGCCACCTGGTCTACCTACTGGATGGGGAGCCCTACAAGGGCCCCTCATGCCTCTTCTCCGGAGACCTGCTCTTCCTCTCTGGCTGTGGTGAGTCCCCCCAGGAGGGGGAGGGGGGAGAGAAACCAGGGCAGCCCTGCTCCCAGGCAATACATCAAAGCTTCGGTCCTCAGCACAGACGTTCACCCTGCCAGACACCCACTGGTTACCCTGGTGACTTGTGTGTCCTCCAGACTTCCCACGGGTGGCCTATAAGGCAGTGAGCCCTCACTGCAGGCCAGCCGACTGCGCTGAGGGAGGCTGGCCGTCGACCGGCTGGCGGGGTTGGAAAAGCTGGGACCCCTTGAGGGTGAGAACAGAGTCCCGGCTGCACGGAGCTCCGGAGGGCCGCACAGCTGGGAGCAGCCTTTCTTTGAGGGGCCAGGCCTGAAGACCAGCTCGAAGGCTATGCACCCTCTTTATCCAGATGCCAACCTGAGGAGTGAAGCCCTTCAGATGGGCCGGTGTGGGGTGACTCAGGGGTCCACCTCCCCAGAGGGAGAAGGAGTCATTGTCTGGGGCCATCTGGTGGTCAGCCTGAGCCCCAGGGGCCATCTCCAACCTGCTCTGTATGTCTCCTAACACGCCCCTCACCCCACCCAGGACGGACCTTTGAGGGCACCGCGGAGACCATGCTGAGCTCCCTGGACACTGTGCTGGGGCTGGGCGATGACACCCTGCTGTGGCCTGGTGAGTGACCCTCCAACCCCGACATCCCACCCATCCGCACGCTCTGGGCCTAGGCAGCACCCCCCAAGAAAGCGGGCAGGGCAGGGCAGAACTGCTTCTCCTCCTTCTGGGATGCTGGCCCTTCATACCTCTGCTTCTCACCCCACCACCCTGCCAGTCCTGGGCCTCCAGGGGACCCGGAGGCCCCAGAGGTCTCAGAGAGGCATCTCATATTCCAGAGCTGGAGCCCAGGGCAGAAAGTGGCCTTTACTTATCGGGGGAGAAACCTCCTGTTGAACTCAGCTTACATCCACTGCCTGACAGTTTTTTGAACACACTCATTAATCTGGGGAGTGTACCTTCCTTTGAAATACCGTACAAAACCCCCACCGCAGCATGGCAGGCCCTGCCTGGCTGGGCATCAGGGAGTAGCCTCTGGTTGGCATCCTTGTGTTTTTCCACTCTTCATGAGAAAACTGAGACCTAAAGAGGTGGCATGCCTTGTCTGAAGTGACACGGTGGGGTGGGGGACAGGTTGGTGCTGGAATGCAGGTCTCCTGGTTCGGTTCCTTACTGGTCCCATCCCCCCACCCAACCACCCCCACCCCCCAGAATCTTCCCTCTCTCAAACTCCTGGTGACCCATGTGCCATACTGACAGCACCGGAGATGAGTGGTTGGGATTTTCCTGGGTACAACTCCCTCCTTCCTGGTTGTTGGGTGCCCAGACTGGCCTGGGGCTGGGGAGGACTTTTTCTGATCACCACCAATCTCTGCCCCTCGTCCCCCGTGGCGGCCTGTCCCCAGGTCACGAGTATGCAGAGGAGAACTTGGGCTTTGCTGGCGTGGTGGAGCCTGAGAACGTGGCCCGGGAGAGGAAGCTGCAGTGGGTGCAGAGGCAGCGGATGGAGCGCAAGAGCACGGTGAGGGTGTGCGGGACCCTGGGCCTGCGGGCAGCCTTGGGATCATCCAGGAGGTGGGGGGGCCTCCCTGCAGTGGGTCAGTCTTCCAGATCGGCCAACCTGATACCTCTGGTCCCCCCGCAGTGCCCATCCACCCTGGGGGAGGAGCGCTCCTACAACCCGTTCCTGCGGACCCACTGCCTGGCGCTACAGGAGGCTCTGGGGCCAGGCCCGGGCCCGGGCCCGGGCCCCACCGAGGACGACTGCTTCTCCCGGGCCCAGCTCCTGGAGGAGCTGCGCCGGCTGAAGGACATGCACAAGAGCAAGTGATGCCCCTCCGGCGGCCCCCAGGTGGGGAAGCCGCCCCGCCACCGTCGCTCCACACCATTCCTCGCCTTGCCACCCGCCACTATCATCGGCACCCACAACCCCCACGGGCACCCACAACTGACCACACTGGTCGGGGGGAGAGGAGAGCAGGGACCAGGCCAAGCGACTGGAGAGGCAGGGGAGGAATTGCGTCTGGTAAAGGGGGAGGGGGGGGAGAGGGAGGAGCCAGAGCCTGCTAACTGGCGGGTCCCCTGGGCGTTTCCCTCGATGGGGGTAGTCAGTGAGGACATGACGGAGGCTCCCTGACCCCGCCGCCCTGCGAAGGTATCCCGCCGGCTGTGGCTCCAGAAGCCATCCTGAGGCTCCGTCCCTCTTCCCCCGACCCCTTCCCACACGGAAAAAAAGGCTCCCAAAGTAGTGTAAGGTGTGGTGCCTTGAAAAATGGCGGCTCAAGGAGCCAGCCGGCTCGGTTTTCAGAGAGACACACGCACACTGGCCTCTCCGCCCGCCCGCCCCCGACCTTGGCATTTTCCGACTGAGCCATTTCCCGGAAGTCCAAGCCCCTCCACTCGGTAATCCCCGCCCCCGGGCCCTCTGGCCAATCCCCTACAGGCTGGAAGTGGGCGGGTCATAGTTGCCAAGGCAACTTGGCCCTCCAGCTACGAAGACACCTGTGGCTGGTGGTGCGGCACCAGGACAGCCCCGCGGGCCCCGCGAGCTCCCTGCCCTGCAGGCCCGATGCCGCCCCCTGACCTTTGCCCCTGCCCAGGGCCACAGGGCCCCTCCGGCCCAGGGGAGAGAGCGCCGCGGCCGAGTGGCCACTTTGGATTCTTTTTTTCAGAATATCTGCCTTCCTCCATCTTCAATAATTCCCCTGTGCTGTTTCTCAACCCCCTTTCTCAGTTGCATACTAAAGACTTATTTTAAAGCCTCGACATTCTTCTGGTCCTTCGCAGTTTGCCAAGAGCAGTCCCAAGAGGCTCTTCCTTGGGTCTTTTGGCCCTGTGGGGACAGGGGCGGGGCCTGCGCCTGCACAGCAAAGAGCAGGACATGCATCTGGGACCAGAGGGTTCTAGGAAGGCTCCTCCCGGGACCCCTCTGCCACGGGCCGACCCAGTTCCCCGCTGGGTCTCGGGTCCAGGCCCAGGTCTCTTTGGGGGCCGCAGTGAGGAGCCTCGCGCCACCCCGAAACCACTTCTTCCTGTGTGGAAGCCTTCCCTTGGGTTCCGCTCGCCTCTGGTGACCCTCGGGTTGGTCCCTGCCTGAAGTTTTCCCTCCCCCCCTGCCCCCTGCCTCCCCCTCCAGCCACGGCCGCTGGTACCAACACTAGCAATACCTACCGTCAGACTAGTTAGAACCCCCTTCCCCCAACACGCTGTATCATGCCTCCGTGCCTTCGCTCATGCAGTTTCTTAGGACTGGAATGCCTTCCCCTGCTCCCCCAGCCGGTCTGCCTGGCAAATACCAACTCATCTCCAACACCCACAAAGGCCCTCCTCCTCCAGAAAGACAACCCCAATGCCCTGCCCCTCCCCTCCAGGCTACCTCTGCTCTTTGTAAATGCTTCTCTGTGGCACTTAGCACACTGTATTCTACTTGTTTACATGTTTGTCTCCCCCCTCTAGACTGTGAATCCCTAAGGGCATGGACTGTATCTTATGCATCTCAGTATTTCTGCGCCTAGCACGGTGCCTGGCACACAGTAGGCGCTTAATAAATGATTAATGAATGAATGATTTAACTGAGGCTTGATGACTTGTCTTTATTGCTGGTTGAGTGACAGCAGGCTATCTGTTCAGGTCTCGGGTACAGGCCAGCAAACTTACTGGACTTCAAGAGCTCAGTGGTAGGGGCTGGGGGATCTGTACCATAAATGTATTTTCTCCCCCCCACTTCCCTGTCACGGCTTCTATGCCTTTGTTCAAGGTTTGAGCTGGGCTGATGTGTCCCAGCTGTATCCCCTGGCCACAGGGGAGGGGGTTTCAGATAGTCACAGCGCAGCAGTGACTACCATGTCAGGCAAGGGCTCCTTGCTAGGTTTCACAAGGGACAGCATCGTTTTGTTTTAATGTATTTGTCTTCGGAGTTTCCTTCTGATAAAGTTTCTATTCCAGGGCATGGGTACAGACGATTTAAGCAGGAGAACATAACATCAAGGATAGAATGAGGGGCTGCCTAAAAGAATTTCTACTTTAACTGAGGACTTGAAAGCTCATGAGCAGCCATCTAAGGTGCATCTGTTGGCGTCTCCCTATCCCAAGCCAACAAGAGTGAAGGAGCTTGCAGACACATAGAAACAATTAGTCCAGGGGGCTAATGGACCACAGGAGCATCAGAATCCATGACACTGAGGCCAGAGGACTGAGATGGTGCCCTGCTACCACTACCAGCGGCTCTGGAAAGGATCACATGAGAGGGTTCTGGATAGCGAGGGAGAACAATGCGGAACAGAACTGAAAATCATAAAAGAGACCAGACATACTGGTCTCTCCCTGAAGTGAAAAGAGGCCCAGGCTTCCAGTTCTTCACACTAGCAGAACCTCCAGGAGTTTGTGGCGGTCCGGGTGTGACTCGTGACCATGCAACCCCGAGTCATGGTCATAGAGTGGCTACATGACAATAGCAGGACCCCAACTTTAACATGCGGCTGTTTCTGGTAACTCGGTGAAGACTTGCCCAGGCAAATTGCCTTGTTTTTTTATGTAAGCACATTTCTGCACATTAACCGCCTCTCAACTACATTCTTCCTGAGGGCAAACTGCTCGCCGTGGGCTTGTGTAAGGATAGCCCTACTACCACTACCAACGTGATGAAGGGATCACGGGAGAAGGTCCTGGATAAGAGTCTGAATTTATGTTAAGGCTCAAGACAAAGTTAGGGCTCCCACCGAAAATCATAGCATCCCACAAACTTAAGTGCTTTAGAATTCAAGCCTCATCCAGGATGAAATGTGCCACACTTTGTAAAGCCCAGAGCATTGCACTGGGCAACTCAGCTGCACAATACTGAAGAAGGAGGGTGTCACTTTGAGGACTAAGGTGTGCTAGACCCACGTCATGGTATTTTCAAGTCGTTTTGTATGTCTGCAAGTGAGGAAGAACCCCAGAAGGATTCAGACCCCTGAATTGCCGTGTTGACAAAGAATATTGAAAGTACAGTGGTCTGCCAGAAGAACAAGCAACATCTGTCTTGGAAAAAGCACAACCAGATTGTGCGCCAGGAGCAGATAGGGCGACTCTACTCACACACTCTGGACATGTTATCGGGAGAGACCCGTCCCTGGAAAAGGGCAGCCTGCTTGGGGAAGTGGGTCAAGGGTCAAGAAGACTCTCCAGGAGGTGGAGTGACCCCAGGGCTGCCACCAGGCTCCAGCACACTGGTGAAGGCGGTGCAGGACTAGGCACCCTCACGCAAGTCCCTGAGGGTAGGCTGCCTCTCCTGGGATTGACGAGGGCAGCGGTTCTCAACCTGGGGGTCGCGACCCCTTTGGGGGTCAAACGACCCTTTCACAGGGGTCGCCCGATTCATAACACTAGCAAAATGACAGTGTGGAAGTAGCAACAAAATAATTTGATGGTTGAGGGCTCACCACCCCATGAGGAACTGTATGAAAGGGTCGCGCCATGAGGAAGGTTGAGAACCACTGCCCTCGAGGCTCCCCAAAAGGGGGTGTGGCGCAGATGCCCACCAGCGGAAGAATGGCTAAAGAAACATTGGTACCTACCAACAACGGAAGACTACAAAACAAAATCCATGACAGCGAAGAAACTGCAAAACACCTCATGATACGGATGGTTCTAGAAACCGTTATGCTGAATGAAGTTTGCCAATCACAAAAGGGCAACCATTGGTGAAGTGACAAAGAGTGACAAACATCCTTGCTTGGATGTTTTGTGCTTCCTAAAGGCCCGTCCTCAGAGGAGATCTCCCCGGCTCTCTGCTCCGAAGGATGCGGAACAGAAGCACCGTGTCAAACTGAATGCCAAGCGGTGTGCCACTTGAAGGCAGCCCTGGAAGGCTGCCAGGTACTGGCAAGTTAAAGGGAGGGTGGAGGCCCATCCGTAAGAGGGAGACAAGAAGCCAGGAGGGGGTGGGATGGAATAGGGGGGTCGGGGTGGCGTTTTGATGAGTGATTTGAATTGGTGAATAGAGAGTTGACAGCATGAAATGTAAATCCCCCACCTAATTCACAGTTAAAAATTCATTTAAGAAATAACCAGTCATTTTGAAAGCCCTGGGGAGCATTTAGCTAACACAGTGAGTTAGCTTGAGTCAGAACTGGCTTGTGTGTGGTTTATCAGGGCAACTGATAAACATCGATGCTTTCCCTACTGTTGTACTGTTGTCCCATGTGTGCAACATTCCACAGCTAAGAAGATCACAGATCTGTAGCAGAAATGAACGCTCGGATCCCTGAGTGTTTGTATGCAGGTTTCTGTTTTCCAAAAGAAATCCCACCCCCAACACGGTGTTTCAACTCAGTGGTTCTCAACCTGTGGGTCGCGACCCCTTTGGGGGG